GCACCCGTAATTCAGCCTCTGGGCTGCAAGTGGTCTGATATAAACTATATTCACAGCTCTCTTATGATTGGCTATTATAAAAACACCCGCGAAAACCGCTGTGGGAGGTGCTTCTAAAAATAGAAAGATACGGGACAGGGTTGGCTCAGAGGGTCAGTATGGAAGATGGAAGCTCCGGGTAATGGGCTCCTGGTTAACAAGATGAAACAGGATAACGTCAAATACCTGCAGGGTATGGTGTTGTATAAATGATGGAAGCATTAGGAGTTTGTGATCCAAACACTCTTCCAAAGACGTTGTTGTCTGAACTAGAATCATGCTTGTCCTTCGATTTACTTTAAAAATGAAAACAGTAATAATTAAATAAAGAAAAAACAGAAAAATAAAGTTTAATCAAGATTGTATAAAAAAGAACTTCGAAGAAAATCCGTTGTTCTTTGCACACCCATGGACAAGTTTTACTCATCAATACTTCTTTAATTAGCAAGTTTTTCTTAGAATCGCATGACTGAATAAAATTTCGCATGCTGATTGGTTAACAAAGCGAGGGATTTAGCGTAGTATTTTGAGTTGAAAACGAGGCTAATTGATATTGTTTCGCATCTACGTATACACAACAACTATCGCTCAGGATAAAAACAAACCATTTTAATGCTGTTTTCTTGTTTTCATTTTTTTTTTAATTTCACTATGCGATTGAAGGAAAATCCATTAGCTGACTCGTGAATTCCGATATCGTACGAATCGCTAAGGTTTTCGCGTACAATTTAAAACGGAATTCCCTCGTCAAGTAATAAAATATCCTATAGAACGCGACCTGTTCCAGGTATTCAGTTGGTAAAACAGCAAAGGAGGAGAGACTTGACCCAAACCCCCTCGTTTTCTTACTTTTCCGCTACTGTCACGCTGTTCATAATTTTGCTCAGTTTTATTAAATGAACGCCTGAATCAAAGTTAAAGCTTTACCAACCTTTGATTGCGAGTTAAACCCCAGAAGGTCCGCACAAACAGGTCAATAACACCAGGCCTGTACGAAACACAAACAGCGTGAGTAGTAAAAATTTAAAAAAACCCAATTTACATTTTGAGCCACTTTTGAGGTAGCTCAAAACGGTTTCGTTATATTGTAACACTGATGATTTTTTTNGGTGCGTGATAATTCGAACGACAAAACATCGGCGGTAGCTATAAGTGCAGTTTGCACACCTTTTTCAAGACTTGAACGCCGGACGGAGGGAAAGTGAAAACAATACCAATCAACGTCTACTTACATAACGTAGTATCTTTACTTGCAGTTTCATTGATCAATTGTTCAATCAATTTGTTTGTTTCGGCAAATACAATATTCCTACAGTATGGCCTGCAAAGAGAACAAGTGAACTTCTTACATCGATTCAGAGCCACAAATACTTGAGTTTATTAGAAGCCACCTTTACTGCAAATACAAGCAACAAAACTTTCCTTGAGGAATCCTTCGGTTCGGCTTACTTTTCTCTTAAAAGTAAATACTTAAATAAATCCATTGGAAAAATAGAAAAAAATCTCCTTTTCAGGGGTAATTGAAATATTTCCGAGTCATCACACAAAGACCGAGTAGCGTTCACGTAAAAGTTCTTCCTAAACTCTCTAATAAACACATTGCTAATCACTAAAATAAAATAACCATTTTATAAGAAATTTCACGAAAAAAGAGCCAAGTCTAAGGCTAGGTTTAAACACTAGTCCACTGAACCTTCAAAGGATTATCTAAATTATCACCGTAACAACACATACAACGAGAAACACGCATGAATGAGCGAAATTAAAAGCTTAATGAGAACTAAGACACTTACCACCTCTCTATTTGAATGTCCTTATTCGTTTCTTTCAACAACTCGCTGTGCAGTTTATCTGTAAATAAGTAAAGAGAATTGTACATAATTAACCCTTCGCTCTCTTCGTCACTTCTTCCCCGTTTGGCGACCTTCTATCCCCGGACCTCATGCCTGGCAAGGATTGAATCTATGAGGCGAATCGACATCCTAGCTAATTTAGCCCCGAGGGTCATGGAAGCATACTCTTTTGCCATAACCGCGAAAGAGGAAATAAAGAAAGAATAGTAAGGTAGCTACACATAGATCAGTGTAATCAATCAATAGACAGCCATGAGTTTTTAATTCGCACTTGTTTGATGGGACCAAAACTCATCAGACTGCCCGATCTGGCAGGTTTTGCGGCTTTGCTTTGAAGTAGTTTTATCGCCCAAGTAATGGGGCAACTGTTGGTGTCACACACTGAGTGGTACACA